CCAACAGTACAACGACCCTAAGCACACAGACAAGACAATGAAGGAGTGGCTTCGGGACAAGTCTCTGAATGTCCTTGAGTGGCCCAGCCAGAGCCCGGACTTGAACCTGAATGAACATCTCTGGAGAGACCTTAAAATAGCTGTGCAGCGACACTCCACAGACAACCTGACAGATCTTGAGAGGATCTGCAGAGAAGAATGGGAGAAACTCCCCAAATACAGGTGTGCCAAGCTTGTAGCGTCATACCCAAGAAGACTCGAGGCTGTAACCGCTGCCAAAGGTGCTTCAACAAAGTACTGAGTAAAGGGTCTGAATACTTATGTAAATGTGATATTTACATTTTTGCTTTGTCATTATGGGGAATTGTGTGTAGAAAAGAAACAGTTTAATCCATTTTAGAATAAGGCTGTAACGTAAGAAAATGTGGAAAAAGTCAAGGGTTTCTGAATAGTTTCCGAATGCACTGTAAATTACATAGAATTAATCATTAGAATGTTCTCTACAATATTATAACCTTAGTATACTTGTACTTGACAGTGTTGATGAAATAAGAATGTTAATTTGCTGTGACCGTTGCTAGTTTAGACTGTGCTGCTCTTGTTTGTATCTCTTTCATATTTGGTGTTGTGAGGTACCATTTGGAGGTGTTTCCGCTGGTTGGATAAATCAAAATCAACTTGATACCTTCGTCCTTTTCACCTCCAGATCCTTGGCTTTCATTGCCTATATTGGCTATCAATCTACATTGAAAGGGGCCATTTCTATGGCAATTTAAAGGGAGAGACTCAGAAATACACAATGAAAACAGATCGTCTTCGCGGAGGGTGGATATTGAAATTCAGTCTCTTAGCTTTGTAAATAAATATATATTTAGTCCCAATTTAGTTTTGTATTCAGCGGATTTAATTTAGAAAAATACCATGTTTTCACTCACGAACCTGCAGCCACTAGTTAGCTTCTCAGTTGACGTTAGAAGTTAAAGCCGTTCTGCCGCGGAGAAGCACCACAGAGTTCTATTGAGCAGTGACCACTTTTTGATCATGCTTGTGATGACATTCCATTCACTCTAAACATTCTGAAATTCTCAGAGTAAATTGTCTGTAACATTTGAACCATATATGGTAGAGAAATGGGGTTTGGACTATTGTTTTTCTTACTGAATTGAATGGACATATTTGTGTAAATCTTGAATTAATTCATCCTTTTATGGGTGAACACCCTACTATATGTTTATGATTAGACTGATGTAACACTACCCTAAGTATTACGTAATACTGTATATTATGTACATGGAGCTGTACTGACAAAATACAAGTTAATGTGGGTTTATGGTTCAAAATGTATATACAGTGCCTTGCAAAAGTATTCATCCCCCTTGGCGTTTTTCCTATTTTGTTGCATTACAACCTGTAATTTAAATTGATTTTTATTTGGATTTCATGTAATGGACATAAACAAAATAGTCCAAATTGGTGAAGTGAAATGAAAAAAAAATTACTTGTTTCAAAACATTCTTCAAAATAAATAACGGAAAAGTGGTGCGTGCATATGTATTCACCCCCATTGCTATGAAGCCCCTAAATAATATCTGGTGCAACCAATTACCTTCAGAAGTCACATAATTAGTTAAATAAAGTCCACCTGTGTGCAATCTAAGTGTCACATGATCTCAGCATATATACAGTTGAAGTTGGAAGTTTACATACACTTAGGTTGGAGTCATTAAAACTCGTTTTTCAACCACTCCACACATTTCTTGTTAACAAACTATAGTTTTGGCAAGTCGGTTAGGACATCTACTTTGTGCATGACACAAGTAATTTTTCCAACAATTGTTTACAGACAGATTATTTCACTTATAATTCACTGTATCACATTTCCAGTGGGTCAGAAGTTTACATACACTAAGTTGACTGTGCCTTTAAAATTCCAGAAAATTATGTCATGGCTTTAGAAGCTTCTGATAGGCTAATTGACATCATTTGAGTCAATTGAAGGTGTACCTGTGGATGTATTTCAAGGCCTACCTTCAAACTCAGTGCCTCTTTGCTTGACATCATGGGAAAATCAAAAGAAATCAGCCAACACCTCAGAAAAATAATTGTTGACCTCCACAAGTCTGGTTCATCCTTGGGAGCAATTTCCAAATGCCTGAAGGTACCACGTTCATCTGTACAAACAATAGTACGCAAGTATAAACACCATGGGACCACGCAGCCGTCATACCGCTCAGGAAGGAGACGCGTTCTGTCTCCTAGTGATGAAAGTACTTTGGTGAGAAAAGTGCAAATCAATCCCAGAACAACAGCAAAGGACCTTGTGAAGATGCTAGAGGAAACAGGTACAAAAGTATCTATATCCACAGTAAAACAAGTCCTATATCGACATAACCTGAAAGGCCGCTCAGCAAGGAAGAAGCCACTGCTCCAAAACCACCCATAAAAAAGCCAGACTACGGTTTGCAACTGCACATGGGGACAAAGATCATACTTTTTGGAGAAATGTCCTCTGGTCTGATGAAACAAAAATAGAACTGTTTGGCCATAATGACCATCGTTATGTTTGGAGGAAAAAGGCGGTTGCTTGCTAGCCGAAGAACACCATCCCAACCGTGAAGCACAGGGGTGGCAGCAACATGCTCTGGGGAAGCTTTGCTGCAGGAGGGTCTGGTGCACTTCACAAAATAGATGGCATCATGAGGAAGGAAAATTATGTGGATATATTGAAGCAACATCTCAAGACATCCGTTAGGAAGTTAAAGCTTGGTCGCAAATGGGTCTTCCAAATGGACAATGACCCAAAGCATACTTCCAAAGTTGTGGCAAAATGGCTTAAGGACAACAAAGTCAAGGTATTGGAGTGGCCATCACAAAGCCCTGACCTCAAGCCTATAGAACATTTGTGGGCAGAACTGAAAAGGCGTGTGCGAGCAAGGAGGCCTACAAACCTGACTCATTTACACCAGCTCTGTCAGGAGGAATGGGCCAAAATTCACCCAACTTATTGTGGGAAGCTTGTGGAAGGCTACCCGAAACGTTTGACCCAAGTTAAACAATTTAAAGGCAATGCTACCAAATACTAATTGAGTGTATGTAAACTTCTGACCCACTGGGAATGTGATGAAAGAAATAAAAGCTTAAATAAATCATGCTCTCTACTATTATTCTGACATTTCACATTCTTAAAATAAAGTGGTGATCCTAACTGACCTAAGTCAGGGAATTTTTACTAGGATTAAATGTCAGGAATTGTGAAAAACTGAGTTTAAATGTATTTGGCTAAGGTGTATGTAAACTTCTGACTTCAACTGTACACCTGTTCTGAGAGGCCCCAGAGTCTGCAACACCACTAAGCAAGGGGCACCACCAAGCAAGCGGCACCATGAAGACCAAGGAGCTCTCCAAACAGGTCAGGGACAAAATTGTGGAGAAGTACAGATCAGGGTTGGGTTATAAAAAAATATCAGAAACTTTGAACATCCCACGGAGCACCATTAAATCCATTATTAAAAAATTGAAAGAATATGGCACCACAACAAACCTGCCAAGAGAGGGCCGCCCACCAAAACTTACGGACCAGGTAAGGAGGGCATTAATCAGAGAGGCAACAAAGAGACCAAAGATAACCCTGAAGGAGCTACAAAGCTCCACAGCTGAGATTGGAGTATCTGTCCATAGGACCACTTTAAGCCGTACACTCCACAGAGCTGGGCTTTATGGAAGAGTGGCCAGAAAAAAGCCATTGCTTAAAGAAAAAAATAAACAAACACGTTTGCTGTTCGCCAAAAGCCAAACATATTGCTCCTGAGTGGCGCAGTGGTCTAAGGCACTGCATCGCAGTGCTAACTGTGCCACTAGAGATCCTGGTTCGAATCCAGGCTCTGTCGCAGCCGGCCGCGACCGGGAGACTCATGGGCGGCGCACAATTGGCCCAGCGTCGTCCAGGGTAGGGGAGGGAATGGCCGGCAGGGATGTAGCTCAGTTGATAGAGCATGGCGTTTGCAACGCCAGGGTTGTGGGTTCGATTCCCACGGGGGGCCAGTATAAAAAAATATGTATTCACTAACTGTAAGTCGCTCTGGATAAGAGCGTCTGCTAAATGACGTAAATGTAATATGGAAGAATGTACTCTGGTCAGATGAGACTAAAATTGAGCCTTTTGGCCATCAAGGAAAACGCTATGTCTGGCGCAAACCCAACACCTCTCATCACCCCGAGAACGCCATCCCCACAGTGAAGCATGGTGGTGGCAGCATCATGCTGTGGAGATGTTTTTCATCGCAGGGACTGGGAAACTGGTCAGAATTGAAGGAATGATGGATGGTGAAATCCTTGAGGGAAACCTGTTTCAGTCTTCCAGAGATTTGAGACTGGGACGGAGGTTCACCTTCCAGCAGGACAATGACCCTAAGCATACTGCTAAAGCAACACTCGAGTGGTTTAAGGTGAAACATTTAATTGTCTTGGAATGGCCAAGTCAATGCCCAGACCTCAATCCAATTGAGAATATGTGGTATGTCTTAAAGATCGCTGTACACCAGCGGAACCCATCCAACTTGAAGGAGCTGGAGGAGTTTTGCCTTGAAGACTGGGCAAAAATCCCAGTGGCTAGATGTGCCAAGCTTATAGAGACATACCCCAAGAGACTTGCAGCTGTAATTGCTGCAAAAGTTGGCTCTACAAAGTATTGACCTTGGGGGGGGGGTGAATAGTTATGCACGCTCAAGTTTTCCGTTTTTTTGTCTTATTTCTTGTTTGTTTCACAATAAAACATATTTTGCATCTTCAAAGTGGTAGGCATGTTGTGTAAATCAAATGATACAAACCCCCCAAAAAACATTTTCATTCCAGGTTGTAAGGCAACAAAATAGGAAAAATGCCAAGGGGGGTGAATACTTTCGCAAGCCACTGTAGACACAACAAATTTTCCCTAAAAACTACAACTCCCTCCATACCTCATACATCTCGTTCCAGGTAGGGTTGAGGTTCTCCTTGATCACATGACTTTTAAACTTGACCCCTCCGATGTTGATCTTGACATAAGGGTCACTCTTGCCCTTCTTCAGGCCCCCCATCAGGTTGTCCTTGGCGATAAGATTCTCGGCCTCCAGTAGGTGGATTCTCAGCACCCCCTTAAAACAAACACCGGTAACAAGACTGCACAAATACAGCAGTATAATAACAATATAATATAATATGCCATTTAGCAGACGCTTTTATCCAAAGCGACTTACAGTCATGCGTGCATACATTTTTTTGTGTATAGCATGCAATACCTAATTCACACAGTACTGTATATGATATTGTACTGTATACCTCAAAAGAAAACAACTGTTATAATGGCCTTCACTGGCATACTGCATCTCACCTCAGAGCCAAAGCTGGGATCAGGGTTGGTGTGTCTGGGGAGTGTTTCAGGAGGACTGGGTTCCTCAGTGAGCTCCTCAGGTACTTTCCCAGAAACCATCTCAGTAGCTGTTACTCTCTTAGCCTCCTCTGGCTCTGGTGCTGGGATAGAGGGAAGGTTGGGGACTGGAGCACTGGGAGTGTCCACTGAACTAGACCTGAGCAGACATGGTGGAATAACAGAGAAATTGGTTAATCGTGTGTGTGTGTGTGTGTGTGTGTGTGTGTGTGTGTGTGTGTGTGTGTGTGTGTGTGTGTGTGTATGTGTGTATTAGTGCACCCTCATTTGTTCTACCTCTTCTGCACTGTGTTTCTCTCCAGTCTCTGTTCAGCAGTAGAGACGTCTCGAGCTCTGGGTTGATCTGCCCTTTCCACATCGATCTCACACTTCTTGGGACACAGCACCTGTATTAGAACAACACATTTAATAACACCACCATATAACCTTATTATAAAACATCATGCATTGAATCAATACACGTCTAAAGTGCCTCCTACAGAGTAATAGAGTGTTTGTAAAGTGCAAGTGTGTCTCACCTTGAGTTCAGCCCTCAGTAGAATCTGACTGTCAGGTGAGGCTCCATCCAGACTCAGCCACTGATCCAGGACCAGATCTGGTTCTGACAGCAGCTCTCTGATTGGTACCACCAGAGAACCAATAGGCAAGGTCCAACTGTGAGACAACTAGAGAAGAGAAAATGGAAGATGGGTGGATGGATGACCTCGTAATGTGCACAACCAGTCAAAAGTTTGGACAAACCTACTCATTCAAGGGTTTTTCTTTATTTTTACTATTTTCTACATTGTAGAATAATAGTGAAGACAACAAAACTATGAAATAACACATATAGAATCATGTAGTAACCAGAAAAGTGTTAAACAAATCAAAATATATTTTATATTAGAGATTCTTCAAATAGCCACCCTTTGATGACTGCTTTGCACACTCTTGGCATTCTCTCAACCAGCTTCATGAGGTAGTCACCTGGAATGCATTTCAATTAACAGGGAAGCCTTCTTAAAAAGTTAATTTGTGGAATTTATTTCCTGCTTAATGCATTTGAGCCAATCAGTTGTGTTGTGACAAGGTAGGGGGGTATACAGAAGATAGCCCCATTTGGTAAAAGACCAAGTCCATATTATGGCAAGAACAGCTCAAATAAGCAAAGAGAAACAACAGTCCATCATTACTTTAAGACACGAAGGTCAGTCAATACGGAACATTTCAAGAACTTTTAAAGTTACTTTAAGTGCAGTTGCAAAAACCATCAAGCGCTATGATGAAACTGGCTCTCATGAGGACCGCCACAGGAATGGAAGACCCAGAGTTACCTCTGCTGCAGAGGATAAGTTCATTAGAGATACCAGCTTCAGAAATTGCAGCCCAAATAAATGCTTCACAGAGTTCAAGTCACAGACACATCTCAACATCAACTGTTCAGAGGGGACTGTGTGAATCGGGCCTTCATGGTCGAATTGCTGCACAGAAACCACTACTAAAGGACACCAATAATAAGAAGAGACCTGCTTGGGCCAAGAAACATGAGCAATGGACATTAGACCGTTGGAAATGTGTCCTTTGGTCTGGAGTCCAAATTTGAGATTTTTGGTTCCAACCGGTGTCTTTCTGAGACGCGGTATGGGTGAACGGATGATCTCCGCATGTGTAATTCCCACCGTAAAGCATGGAGGAGGAGGTGTTATGGTGTGGGGGTGCTTTGCTGGTGACAGTGTCTGTGATTTATTTAGAATTCAAGGCACACTTAACCAGCATGGCTACCACAGCATTCTGCAGCGATACACCATCCCATCTGGTTTGGGCTTAGTGGGACTATCATTTGTTTTTCAACAGGACAATAAACCAACACACCTCCAGGCTGTGTAAGGGCTATTTGACCAAGAAGGAGAGTGATGGAGTGGTGCATCAGATGACCTGGTCACCACAATCCCCCGACCTCAACCCAATTGAGATGGTTTGGGATGAGTCAGACGGCAGAGTGAAGGAAAAGCAGCCAACAAGTGCTCAGCATATGTGGGAACTCCTTCAAGACTGTTTGAAAAGCATTCCAGGTGAAGCTGGTTGAGAGAATGCCAAGAGTGTGCAAACTGTCATCAAGGCAAAGGGTGGCTATTTGAAGAATCTCAAATATAAAATATATTTGTTTAACACTTTTTTGGTTACTACATGATTCCATATGTGTTATTTCATAGTTTTGATGTCTTCACTATTACTCTACAATGTAGAAAATAGTAAAAATAAAGAAAAACCCTATATAGAGTATAGTACCCTTATATAAAAGCCCAAGTCTTTAAGCTCTGATCTAAAAAATATTTTTACATACACACCTTCACTATGAGGATCTCTTCTCTGGGGTCATGAACCAGGAAGCAAAAGGCCTCGTCCCACTGGGGTGAGATGGTGCGATCACACACCTTAAGAGAGATCGAAAGGAGGCAAGAGCAGTAATTCACTGACACAGATCAAAATACCATATTAGAGTGTGGACATTTTGAATCTTTTTTTAAGACAAATTGAATGGTTTTACAGTGTCATATGTCCAGTTTTAACAGGACACATTGAATGGGTTTTCTGTCTCACTGTAGTTTTATGGGAGGTTCCCCCCACAACAAGTTCAGCTCCCACTTTTGGCTCCTTCCCACTCTTCTTCAGCTAGAAACACACAACAATAAACAAACATTCAAAACAAACACACTACATGTGCACAAAATAAGCACCCAGGTTCATATGCAAAATATAATTAGTCCTCTAAACATAACAAACATCATTAACATTAGCCCTGCACACAAAGTCATAAGACCCCCTCCAAACTGAGAAAGAGGTGCAAAGACTCACTGGTAGACCGTCTGCCCTATCCACAAACACAAAGAGTAGAGCCATGGAGGGAAAGGCCTTGTTGTGGTAGGACTGCCTGGACTGGAACTGGAACACCTGGGGACATGTACACAGGTCACTGGGTCTGTATGGCACTGTGTACAAGGATGCATTACTCTACTGTTTAATACTGCCTATTATATTGCTTATGTTTTGTAATCAGGTCTGATTTGCAAAAGAGATTCTCTGATCACAATATTATATCTTTAATAAACTCCTGATTAAAAAAAGAGGAAGAAGGACTGACCTGGTCCAGTATGTCTGGTTCTGATACTGTAGGTACCCACTCCAGTACCAGGTGAACACGACCTGACTTCACATCATTCAGAGTGTACCACTGGAACAGAGAGACAACAACTCAGTGTAGCCTAACACTGAAACAGGGAAACTAATGAGCTTTTACATAGGATGGTAACATAAGCAGTGATCTGTTTGTGTGAATGAAAGTATGAAGTCATGTTAACTCCGTTGCAGGCAGGCAGATCTCACCTGGTCAGTGTACTGAGAGGTGATGATATCCTTCAAACTAATCTTCAACCTGTAAAGGTACATATGAATATCAGGTTAGAGTGCAAACAACTGTACAAAACAACGTAATATGGAGCAAAACCTAATCAGTGGGAGTAGTTACATGTCCCTGCCCAAGGGGGTGCTAAAGTCACCACACATAGATATCTATCTAGCTCCCAGAGACCCTAAAGTAGTGCACTATATAGAGACAGTGGTGGAAAAAGTACCCAATTGTCATACTTGAGTAAAAGTATAGATACCTTAATAGAAAGTTACTCAAATAAAAGTGAAAGTCTGCCAGTAAAATACTACTTGAGTAAAAGTCTAAAAGTATTTGGTTTTAAATATACTTAAGTATCAAAAGTAAATGTAATTGCTAAAATATACTTAAGTATTAAAAGTAAAAGTATAAATCATTTAAAATTCCTTATATTAAGCAAAGCAGACGGCACCATTTTCTTGTTTACAAAAGATGCATTTGTGTTTAGTGAGTCCGCCAGGCCAGAGGCAGTAGTGCATGAATTTGACATTTTCCTGTCCTGCTAAGCAGGGAAAAAGTACAATATTTTCTTGAGGAATGTAGTGAAGTAAAAGTAAAAGTTGTCAAAAATATAAATAGTAAAGTAAAGTACAGATACCCCAAAAAACTACTTAAGTAGTCCTTTAAAGTATTTTTAATTAAGTACTTTACACCATTATTGCCATTTGGGTCACAGCCTGCATACCTGCCCATGAAGTCATCTTTCATGTCCATGTCCTTATCAAACATCTCTACATGCAGCTCCTGGCCAGGCAGCGTGGTCAGAACCACCTGGGAGACAACACAACACTCAACAACAGCTTCAGTAAAGGCAATATTCTACATACTAAAACTGGAAACACACAGGGAAGTACTGACATTTTGAGGTCACTTAATATTTTCCTCAAAATAATGGGTAAGTCCTCATTTGTAGACTGCTGTCCTGGTTGTTAACAGTGTTAATTCCGTCAACAATAGCTATGACGAAACATATTAGCCAACGACCTATTTTCCCTGTCGAAAACTAATGACGATAACGATATGATGACATGGAAAAAATTATAACTGTAACAAATGAGTTTTTATTTTAGTTGACGAAAATGTGACGAGGCAAGAACTTCACGTGAGACTAATGGACATTCAATTTGACATGAAGCTCCTTTTCATCTAATTTCTCCAATCATAAGCATGAATGCCTATGCAGAATTTTTTATGCAATCCTCTCATTGGAAGAATGAACGTCTTTCAGTTGCGCGGTGTGATTGGGCTGATCTGACCGGCTCTTCCAGACAGCTCCCGGGAGTTCACTTCAGTCACTTCAATTGTATCTAACCTAAACTAGAAACAATAATGTTTACTCTCTCTAGGCTATTTTTGCTTTGATCACATCAGAAGCTCTATTTTCCCATGTGAGCTGTTATTCATCTGTGTTGTCGCTCTCACGCTTCGCAAATGCGAGTGCAGTAGTTTTTCCCGATTGGAAATATTAATGCTATTTGCTGAATATTAGGAGTACAGTAGCCTAACATTTCTGGCATTGTTGGAAAGCTCAGATTCTCCCCTTTTTAGGGGAATCATTGTTATTTACTCCAATCCCAAGGTTATGATGGGGAGAAAAGAGCTGTATGCCTAAATTGTTTAACCTGTAGCCAAGACTTTGTAGCCTATGGTAAATCATGGCTGGCATTGGTTACAATCTACCACAATAGCAATGTGCCAGCTATATGAGGGGATAGTAGGTCTAGTTGGACAAGGCTATTTTAATGTGCTCATGATGGAAGTTAAAAGTAAATATACATTATTTCATGGGGGAAAAATGCACTAACTAATATGTTACTGAAATGACTGTGATTAAAACTAGACTAAAATTGTCCCGAGTTTTAGCCGACTGATAACAAAAACTAAGGATGAAAATACTAAAATGTGACTAAGACTAAAAGGTATTTTAGTCATAAAGACTAACACTAAAACTAAATCTAAAATAGCTTCCAAAATATCACTGGTTGATAAGCACTCTTTCTATGGTTGTACTGTTTTCTGACGAGCAGAGGCCTCCTTGAACTCATTATAACCCTACAGTGGTATGAATGTCAGTTTTGACCAATTACTTTATTTGTTTTGTTAAAATGTTCTGACTTGAAAATTAAGATAATATTAGGTTGATATCGTACCTCGTACATCTCGTTCCAGGTGGGGTTGAGGTTCCTATTGATGACCCGACTTTCAAAAGTCTCACCCCCAATGTTGATCTTGACATAGGGGTCACTCTTGCCCTTTACCATGCCCCCCATCATGTTGTCCTTGGGGACCAGATTTTGGCCCTCTAGAAGGTGGATTCTCAGCACCCCCTAAAACAACAAAATACTGAACGTCACCATAGACTCCTCAACATTGCAATCACACTTTAACTTGGTTTAATCGTATCTACCTTGAAAACAATAACATGTATGTCCATGTATATTACATTTGTATTTGTATTTATTATGCCAAGGCAGCAGCTACTCTTCCTGGGGTCCAACAAAATTAAGGCAGTTATTCATTTAAAAAACATTACAATACATTCATAACAGATTTCACAACACATTAAGTGTGTGCCCTCAGGCCCCTACTGCACTACCACATATCTACAACACAAAATCCATGTGTACGTGTGTGTATAGAGCGTATGTTATCGTGTGTGTATGCATGTGTCTGTGCCTATGTTACCTCTGTGGCAAAGCTGGGGTCAGGGGAGGTCTGTTGGGGGCGTATCTTTGAGAGACCAGCTGCTAGGTTAGCTGCCTCTGTAGAGGAAGTGGGAAGGTTATCCTCATCCAACCATAGCACCTGAGAGAGAAAGGGAGAGCGAGAAACAATGAGAGAGAGAGAGATAAAGAGAGAGAGAAACAAAGAGAGAGAGAGAGAGAGAGAGAGAGAGAGAGAGAGAGAGAGAGAGAGAGAAGAGAGAAACAAAGAGAGAGACAGAAAAAAAGAGAGAAGAATGCATTATACATAGGCCAAACTGAGCTTTAGAGATGTGCATCCACCTTACTGTAGGTTGGGATTGAGAGGAGGAACCAGTCCTTACCCTGAGTACAGTGTTGATGTAGATGCGGCTGGCAGGGCCAGATTTGTCTAGCTGGAACCACTGGTCCAGAGACAGGTTGGGGCTGGACAGCAGACGGGACAGAGGGATGGACAGGCTACCTAGAGTCTGAATCCGGTCATTGTCTTTCACCTGGAAGAGATGGGAGGATAGTGAGAATGTTCAATGAAGAATACACACATAGGAAAGAGTGTGGTCATTAACAGATTGCTATGAGGAAACACAGACAGAAATGTTGCACTCAAAAAATGAACATAATGACAAATGGGTGCAGAACATGTTATGGAGTTAGAATATCAAGGTACCTGAATGTCTATTGACTGCTTGCGTGGATCTGGGATGAAGAAGGTGAAGGCATCCTCCCACTCTGGGTTGATTGTCGTCCAACAGGTCTAAAAACAGTACAAAGGAATTGAGAGAAAGTAAAATAGGAGTGGGTTTGACTTCAAAGCAAAGGGTTATGATAGTCTATTACTATGGTAGCCCCGTTTGGTCCTTTGTTCCACTGTAGGAGCCGGATGGAATAAGTCAAGTAAGTCACTACTCTGGTAGTCTTACCCTGCTCTCTCGGGTGATGTCCTGCACAGACAACTGCACCATGGGACTGGGTTCTTTGTTGCCCTTCTTCATCTTAAACACACACATACAAACACACATCAACATATAAAACACACAAACAACTTTAACACTGTAACACTTTATTAATAGAGCACTACGGGGGCTTTTGTTTCGGCCCAGCACTAACACATTTGATTCAACTAATCAAGTTATTGATAATTAGATTTGATGAGTTGATTAGTTGAAACAGATGTGTTTGTGCTGGGTTTGTAACAAAAGCCTGCACACTCTGTAGCTCTTCAGGACTAGGGTTGGTTACCACTGGCATAGATGTTGCATAGCAACCGCTGAAAAACAGTAGAAAGAGGAAACAGAGTTGAGTGCCAAGAGTTTCAGGAAGTCTAAACACAGCACCACTATGGGTGTGTTTCATTCCAGAAGGTTGTTCCCTCTCCTTGGCTCCCATTCACTTCCTTTTGCAGATCAGACAGGACTGGATAGGTGAAAACAACATGTCGGAAAGCTAGCCTTTAAAGCTGATGTTGCAATTATCTCAGATCGGTGATGGGAAGTGAACAAGGGCAGAGGGTAGGGAACAACTCTGTGTAACAAGAACCCTAATGACAGTTACAGCGCTACCCTAGCAGCCACAGACAGGATGCAGCTTAAGGGGTGAGAGAGGAGGAGGAGGGGGGAGAGGTTGAGGAGGTGTGACTCACAGGAAGGGCTTCAGCCTTGTCCAGATACACTGCCAAGATGGCTGCCGAGGGGGGATCAGAAGTCTTACTGGACACTGTCAAGCTCTTGTTCCTCTGAAGAACCTGGCAGAGGAAGGGAGAGGGGGAGGAGTTGAGAGGAGGGGAGAGGGGGAGGAGTTGAGAGGAGGGGAGAGGGGGAGGAGTTGAGAGGAAATTAGCTCTAAGCACTTTTCATTCTGCACATTCCTTCACTACAGCTCACAGCCAGTGTCCAATCAAACAAGACGGAATGAGCATCATATTGTTGTAACATTAACTTTAGGAGGAATATTATGATAGGGAGGACACGGATGCAGACCTGCTCTAGTTGCTCTGTATTGGGCAGCAAGACCAACCACTCCAGTCTGAAATGGACCCGTCCTGACTTGGTTTCTTTCAGGGTGAACCACTGAGAAACAAAAATACAGATTGTGATGACAATGTAGTGTCTAACCATGTTAGACATTCAATAATACTGAAAATAACTCACTTCATCAACAACTTTGGACTTCTTCACGATACCCAAATCTATCTTGGTTCTGTAGGAAACGGCAAAGAGTGGGAGAGAGACAGATAGAGAAATAAACAAAAAGAGAGAAATCAAGACAATGGAGAAAAAGAAGGAAAATATATCCAGCAGTATTTAAGGAAGAGAAGATAGTATTGAATGTAAAACACTAGGAGACTTCATACTCTTTATACTCAGTTACAGGGCTATGAGAGGTGAAAGGGAAGGGAAACAATAAGAAGTGGCAGTGTGGCAACAGAAACCCATGGGCAGGCAGAGATATGTAGCTACCTCCCCAGAAAGTCATCCTGGTCTGGGTCTTTGTCATACACCTCCACCTCCAGCTCCTGACCTGGTACTTCATGGACTATGACCTGACACACACACACATGGACATACAGTGCATTCGGAAAGTATTCAGAACCCTTGACTTTTTCCACATTTTGTTACGTTACAGCCTTATTCTAAAATTGATTCAATTGTTTTTCTCCCTCAATCTACACACAACACCCCATAATGACAAAGCAAAAACTGGTTTTTAGAAATGTTTGCAAATGTATTACAAATAAAACACTTAAATATCAAATTTAAATAAGTATTCAGACCCTTTACTCAGTACTTTGTTGAAGCACCTTTGGCAGCGATTACAGCCTTGAGTCTTCTTGGGTATGACGCTATAAGCTTGGCACACCTGTATTTGGGGAGTTTCTCCCATTCTCTTCAGATCTTCTCAAGCTCTGTCAGGTTGGATGGGGAGCGTCGCTGCACAGCTATTTTCAGGTCTCTCCAGAGAGGTTAGATCGGGTTAAATTCCGGGCTCTGGCTGGGCCCCTCAAGGACATTCAGAGACTTGTCCCGAAGCCACTCTTGTCTTGGCTGTGTGCTTAGGGTCATTGTCCTGTTGGAAGGTGAACCTTCGCCCCAGTTTGAGGTCCTGAGCGCTCTGGAGCAGGTTTTCATCAAGGATCTCTCTGCTCCTTTCATCTTTCCCTCAATCCTGACTAGTCTCCTAGTCCCTGACGCTGAAAAACATACCCACAGCATGATGCTGCCACCACCATGCTTCACCGTAGGGATGGTGCCAGGTTTCCTCCAGACGTGACACTTCGCATTCAGACCAAAGAGTTCAATCTTGGTTTCATCCGACCAGAGAATCTTGTTTCTCATGGTCTGAGAGTCCTTTAGGTGCCTTTTGGCAAACTCCAAGCGGGCTGTCATGTGCCTTTTACTGAGGAGTGGCTTCCGTCTGGCCACTTTACCATAAAGGCCTGATTGGTGGTGTACTGCAGAGATGGTTGTCCTTCGGAAGGTTCTCCCATCTCTACAGAGGAACTCTAGAGCTCTGTCAGAGTGACCATCGGGTTCTTGGTCACCTCCCTGACCAAGGCCCTTCTCCCTCGATTGCTCAGTTTGGCCGGGTGGCCAGCTCTAGGAAGAGTCTTGGTGGTTCCAAACTTCTTCCATCTAAGAATGATGGAGGCCACTGTGCTCTTGGGGACCTTCAATGCTGCAGACAGTTTTTGGTACCCTTCCCCAGATCTGTGCCTTGACACAATCCTGTCTCGAAGCTCTACGGACAAATTTCTAAAAACCTGTTTTCGCCATTATGGGGTATTGTGTGTAGATTGAGGAGGGAAAAAAGTAATTTCATCCATTTTAGAATAAGGCTGTAGTGTAACAAAATGTGGAAACGGTAAAGGGGTCTGAATACTTTCCGAATGCACTGTACACAACACCATGAGGACCAACAACACAGAGATATCAATGAGGAGAAAATGTGTCTGTTTCCTCTATGATTACTCAGTATGACCGTGTGTCATTGGCAGATTGATTTTCCTGTAAAAAAAAACAAATTAACCTTGATAGACAGACATACATAGGGGAATCCCCACTCTGCTACTGGACCATTGCATTCCCTACCAAGTAATGCATTATCTCTCTAAACAAAGATATGGAAATTAAGACATGCTGTTTTGCAACAGTAAATGCAACACTAATATGTGGCAATGACATTCAATGAAATAGAAATGAGTGATTTTACACAATCCTCCGGCTCCTGGCCCCCTCACCTCGTACATCTCTTCCCACTTGGGACAGACAGTGTTGTCCACAACGTGGGAGGTGAAGGTCTGAGGACCCACCCTACACAGGGCGTAAGGGTCAGACATCCCTGCTATCACCCCCTTAATGTAGTTGTCCTTAGCTGGCAGGTCATCAGCCTCCAAGAGGTGGATACGCACCACACCCTGAGAGGAGGGGTAGACAGAGAGAGAGGGGGAGAGGGGTAGAGCGAGATAATGAGAGAGAGAAATAGAGGGGGGAGAGGGGACAGATTCGGAGAGAGAGGGAACAATTAATCATTTAATGGGGAGGGAGGGAGTGGAAGACAGTGAGGGGATTGATACTGGTATAAGCTCTATTGTGTTTAATGTCTGTATATCAGTGTTAATTTATCAAGGAGTTTGGCAGTTATAAGCTCAGACAAGACACATAGAGTCTGTGGTCTGAGTAAATGTGTGTGTTTGTGGAGTGTGTTTGTGGAGAGTGTTTGTGGAGAGCGTGGACTCACCCTGGGCAGAGGAGAGCGTAGCTGGGCAATGTGCAGGTCTGCTACCAGGGGAACAGTCAGACGGTTGGGCAGAACCAGGAAGGAAGCGATGGCGTCCATTATCATGGTGTCAGACATAATGCTGAGAAACACAGGAGGGAGCACTCGATTTTATATATACAGTAGATACTGTACATACATGTAAGTGCACAGACATAGTATATCATAATACAGCCATATCATAGCATAGCATAGAACTGATTGTATCAGGTGGTGCATATAGTAAAGTATAGTTTTGTGTTACATTAAGTGAATTATCATCACATGACCTAGTGACTCCAATTACAAAACACTAACAACAGAAAGAGTCAGCCTCACTTCAGACCAGGGATGTCCAGTAAGTTGGTCAGTCCAGTCCAGTTGATGTCCAGTTTCTATAGGACAGGGGTGAGGAGATGAGGGAAAAGATGAGGAATGTTGGGGTTTCAGACATTCAATACAAAGAGAAAGAGAGATACATAACAAATGTTCCTCAAAGGTTCTTTGGGAAGGGTGATGGTTCTATGTGGAACCATAATTACTCAAATAACCATTTGAGCTCTTCAATGGTTCTTTACAGTTCAGAAAAGGGTTCTTTGCTCTTTTAGTGATAATTAAAATGTAGGGGCGATGGCTCATTAGAATATTTTGGGGTGTGGTTTGCGCACAGCTCTTTTTTTGCAATTGTGAGTGAGAGTGTCATTCCAGTTTATCTAATGTGTTGTGTTGTGCCAATACACATTATATATGACTATGGCCAGTGACAGTGTCTTGTGTCAATTGAGAACGATTGACTAAATCAGTCAGTGATTCTCAATTCTCTCCTCAGGGACCCCCAGCTGTTCTAGAGATAGCTCATGTGATTCAACTTGCCAATTAACACAATAATAACACCTATTGAATTTTAACAATATAATATGGCTGACCAGAATAATAAACCCTGTACGGTTCTTCAAAAGGATCTACAAAGGGGCCTCCCGAGTGGCGCAGCGGTCTAAGGCACTGCATCGCAGTGCTAGAGGCATCACTACAGACCCGGGTTCGATCTCGGGCTGTATCACAACCGGCCATGATTGGGAGTCCCATAGGGTGGCACACAATTGGCCCGAGCGTCGTCCGGGTTAGGGGAGGGTTTGGCCGGGGGGGCTTTACTTGGCTCATCGCGCTCTAGCGACTCCAATGGTTACAAGCCAAAGAAGCCCTAGCTAGTACTATTTGGAACCATAATTTTTTTGTGTGGAAGTAACAGGGAGTGTGAGATGGTGGAGTGTTGGGAGTAAAGAGGATATGAAGGGAAAGATGGACAGACCGATGGTGTTAAGGAAAGAGAGGGATGGTCCCAGCTACCCACCGGCCTGCGGATAAAGAACATGGTGACTGCGCCCACGATTGGGACATCTCCAATCAGAGGCTCCAGAATCACCCGCATCATCCCATGCAGCTGGGAAGAGAGAGGCGGGAATACATTAATATTAAATCGCAAAACTGACATAAGGTTTATAAAGGATTTATAAAAACCCTTATAAGGATTTATAAGTACAGACCGTGAATTATTTGTTTATACATACATACATTAAAAATAAATATGTAATTTCTTAGTTATGTTTAAACGTTATTGTAAAGTGTGACCAATATCTCTTCCTGCCTCTCCCTTTCTCTTTTCAGGTCAATACCTTCTTTCTCTCCCTGTTTTCCATAATATCCCGCAGCCTTATTACAGACTAGAGAGAGAAGATAAAACATACCTGTATTCCCTTGACTCCTGCTTTGCAGAAATACCTCTTCACCTCCACATTGATCTCAACATTTCCAACATAGCTGCAAGGTAAAAGAGAAGGATACTGTAGCACATTGCAATAATGGTTCCTTGTATAACGGCTTTGAACTTCTGATTTTGGAAGAGAGAGTGAATGGTGCCTCTGAGGCCTGGAGGAAAGTTAAACATTGAAGGGTTGAAGGTCACCTGATGTACACGTCCAGCAGGACTTGTCCCCGCTCATTCTCTGTGTGTGCTTTTACACCCACCACCTTCATGGCCTACAACACACACACACAGCATAGTCAACAAAGAACATACACACACCAAGAGAACACAATTATGTAAGACTATGAAAGACCATAGACCAATACTGAAGTCCCATGTCCATCTCAGTGAGAGTGAAAGAGAATCTTGTGTCATTACGTATTTGTATGATGAGACCTGTAGCAGTGTGTGTGTATGGGGGATGTTATCTTAGAAGTTACCTTGTCCCCAAAGTCCACCTTAGTGAAGGTGAGGGTCTGGAGGTGAGTGCTGGAGGCACGGATGGACGGAGCGATGGTCTCCACTAGCAGCTTTTCCAGATACTGACCCACAAACGGCCACACCTGCTGCAGGATCTGAGGTGGGGGACAGGAAGAGGAGCAGGGATGATGGCTATAATTTGTGTAATGCACACCAGGCAATTGCTTTTCAGCAATACTAAATCAGGTTATTACAACATTCTCTCTGAGGGAAAGACAGATAGACTTGTTCTACCCCTTGCTACTTTGGAGTTAACGTGTAAGCACAAGCACACCACTCTCTAACGGCAATAGGCCTACTACTTTAAAATGTCTCAGCTTCAAATACTCAGGCATGATTATCTTATGGTGGTCGTACACACTGTGTGAATAAGAACTATGGCAACATGCATGTGACAGATTAGACTTCAGCTGCGCACACATCTGTCTTTTCCATGATGGCACAGGCATAGTTACACATATTCAGGATTCTGGGCCACCCGTTGCTTGTAGATCTGTTTATGTCCAGCCTTCACTGTTTAGATATGTTATGATATTGGGGCAAGGTTAGTGTTAGGATGTAGACAAACACTATCCAGGATACACTTCCACACTTCATTCCCCCAGGGGGCAGCAGCAACCTTGTCCATGTGCTGAGCCTGGTTGATAAGCCCACCAGGTGCTGCCAATTAAGGCGTAGTCAGTCAGTGTCCCAGTTTTGCAAGCCGTGAGGCTACTGGTTGGTTTGGTGGCCATGAAGCCTTTTGTTTGATTTTGAATCTTTAGTTTGTAGTTTTCCTTTTGTATATATTTGTTTCCGTCACCATCTGAACATAATAATCCGCTTGGGCTCGCTGACCCAAAGGAGTCAAGACAGAGCTGGCCATGGACCTAAGGTAAGGTTGCTGTCTTCCTGGGCACATGTGCATCTAACACAGTCCTCAAACACTGACTTACATTTTACATTTTAGTCATTTAGCAGACGCTCTTATCCAGAGCGACTTACAGTTAGTGAGTGCACACATTTTCATACTGGCCCCCCGTGGGAATCGAACCCACAACCCTGGCGTTGCAAGCACCATGCTCTACCAACTGAGCTACATGGGGCCCACATAAATGCACACATGAATTCAGGTTACATATCAGTTAACTAGGCCTAAGACCCCTAGAATTGGCAAGTGCAACAATATTAGCAGGCTAGTTGATCGGTTTCGTAATACTTTTGAAACAAATTTGTGTGGTGACCTAGGGAAACCCTTCATTACATCAGGACATTTTTACAAATCTTCAAAACTGTCCCAGATCTTCTTTTTTTTAATCACTGCGATATCTTTATCAGAACCTGAGTTATGAGCTTTTAAAGTTGACTTCAGCCCAAAAGTAAAAACAGCATTAAAATATTCAGTTACATTTTTTCTAATTCCATTGAGGCAAGAGAGAAGAGCACCAAAACTCAGTTTCCTTTCCTTTCCTTTGATTGTTTTAAAAGAGATTGTCACTATATATATATTCTTTTTTTTTAAACAGCAACTGCAGGTACAGTGGCTTGCTAAAGTATTCACCCCCCTTGGCATTTTTCCTATTTTGTTGCCTTACAACCTGGAATTAAAATGGATTTTGGGGGGGGTTGTATCATTTAATTTACACAACATGCCTACCACTTTGAAGATGCAAAATATGTTTTATTGTGAAACAAACAAGAAATAAGACAGAAAAACAGAACTTGAGCGTGCAGAACTATTCACCCCCCCCCAAAGTCAATACTTTGTAGAGCCACATTTTGCAGCAACTACAGCTGCAAGTCTCTTGTGGTATTTCTCTATACGCTTGGCACATCTAGCCACTGGGATTTTTGCCCATTCTTCAAGGCAAAACTGCTCCAGCACCTTCAAGTTGGATGGGTTCCGCTGGTGTACAGCAATCTTTAAGTCATACCACAGATTCTCAAATGGATTGAGGTCTGGGCTTTGACTAGGCCATTCCAAGACATTTAAATGTTTCCCCTTAAACCACTGAAGTGTTGCTTTAGCAGTATGCTTAGGGTCATTGTCCTGCTGGAAGGTAAACATCCATCCCAGTCTCAAATCTCTGGAAGACTGAAACAAGGTTTCCCTCAAGAATTTCCCTGTATTTAGCGCCATCCATCATTCCTTCAATTCTGACCAGTTTCCCAGTCCCTGGGATGGTGTTCTCGGGGTGATGAGAGGTGTTGGGTTTTAACCAGACATAGCGTTTTCCTTGATGGCCAAAAAGCATCTGACCAGAGTACCTTCTTCCATATGTTTGGGGAGTCTCCCACATGCCTTTTGGCGAACACCAAACGTGTTTGCATATTTTTTTCTTTAAGCAATGGCTTTTTCTGGCCACTCTTCTGTAAAGCCCAGCTCTGTGGAGTGTACGGCTTAAAGTGGTCCTATGGACAGATACTCCAATCTCCGCTGTGGAGCTTTGCAGCTCCTTCAGGGTTATCTTTGGTCTCTTTGTTGCCTCTCTGATTAATGCCCTCCTTGCCTGGTCCGTGAGTTTTGGTGGGCGGCCCTCTCTTGGCAGGTTTATTGTGGTGCCATATTCTTTCCATTTTTTAATAATGGATTTAATGGTGCTCCGTGGGATGTTCAAAGTTTCTGATATTTTTTTATAACCCAACCCTGATCTGTACTTCTCCACAACTTTGTCCCTGACCTGTTTGGAGAGCTCCTTGGTCTTCATGGTGCCACTTGCTTGGTGGTGCCCCTTGCTTAGTGGTGTTGCAGACACTGGGGCCTTTAGAACAGGTGTATATATACAGTGGGGAGAACAAGTACAAGTACACAAGATACACTGCCGATTTTGCAGGTTTTCCTACTTACAAAGCATGTAAAGGTCTGTAATTTTTATCATAGGTACACTTCAACTGTGAGAGACGGAATCTAAAACAAAAATCCAGAAAATCACATTGTATGATTTTTAAGTAATTAATTTGCATTTTATTGCATGAGATAAGTATTTGATCACCTACCAACCAGTAAGAATTCCGGCTCACACAGACCTGTTAGTTTTTCTTTAAGAAGCCCTCCTGTTCTCCACTCATTACCTGTATTAACTGCACCTGTTTGAACTCGTTACCTGTATAAAAGACACCTGTCCACACACGCAATCAAACAGACTCCAACCTCTCCACAATGGCCAAGACCAGAGAGCTGTGTAAGGTCATCAGGGATAAAATTGTAGACCTGCACAAGGCTGGGATGGGCTACAGGACAATAGGCAAGCAGCTTGGTGAGAAGGCAACAACTGTTGGCCCAATTATTAGAAAATGTAAGAAGTTCAAGATGACGGTCAATCACCCTCAGTCTGGGGCTCCATGCAATATCTCACCTCGTGGGGCATCAATGATCATGAGGAAGGTGAGGGATCAGCCCAGAACTACACGGCAGGACCTGGTCAATGACCTGAAGAGAGCTGGGACCACAGTCTCAAAGAAAACCATTAGTAACACACTACGCCGTCATGGATTAAAATCCTGCAGCGCAAGCAAGGTCCCCCTGCTCAAGCCAGCGCATGTCCAGGCCCGTCTGAAGTTTGCCAATGACCATCTGGATGATCCAGAGGAGTAATGGGAGAAGGTCATGTGGTCTGATGAGACAAAAATAGAGCTTTTTGGTCTAAACTCCACTCGCCGTGTTTGGAGGAAGAAGAAGGATGAGTACAACCCCAAGAACACCATCCGAACCGTGAACCATGGAGGTGGAAACATCATTATTTGGGGATGCTTTTCTGCAAAGGGGACAGGACGACTGCACCGTATTGAGGGGAGGATGGATGGGGCCATGTATCGCGAGATCTTGGCCTTCCCTCAGTAAGAGCATTGAAGATGGGTCGTGGCTGGGTCTTCCAGCATGACAACGACCCGAAACACACAGCCAGGGCAACTAAGGAGTGGCTCCGTAAGAAGCATCTCAAGGTCCTGGAGTGGCCTAGCCAGTCTCCAGACCTGAACCCAATAGAAAATCTTTGGAGGGAGCTGAAAGTCCGTATTGCCCAGCGACAGCCCCGAAACCTGAAGGATCTGGAGAAGGTCTGTATGGAGGAGTGGGCCAAAATCCCTGCTGCAGTGTGTGCAAACCTGGTCAAGACCTACAGGAAACGTATGATCTCTGTAATTGCAAACAAAGGTTTCTGTACCAAATATTAAGTTCTGCTTTTCTGATGTATCAAATACTTATGTCATGCAATAAAATGCAAATTAATTACTTAAAAATCATACAATGTGATTTTCTGGATTCCGTCTCTCACAATTGAAGTGTACCTATGATCAAAATTACAGACCTCTACATGCTTTGTAAGTAGGAAAACCTGCAAAATCGGCAGTGTATCAAATACTTGTTCTCCCCACTGTATATATATATATATATATATATATACACTGAGATCATGTGACACTTAGATTGCACACAGGTGGACTTTATTTAACTAATTATGTGACTTCTGAAGGTAATTGGTTGCACCAGATCTTATTTAGGGGCTTCATAGCAAAGGGGGTGAATACATATGCATGCACCAATTTTCTGTCATTTATTCTTTAGAATTTTTTGAAACAAGTTATTTTTTTTCATTTCACTTCACCAATTTGGACTATTTTGTGTATGTCCATTACATGAAATCCAAATAAAAATCCATTTAAATTACAGGTTGTAATGCAACAAAATGACAAAAACGCCAAGGGGGATGAACACTTTTGCAAGGCACTGTATTGTTTGCATTAAATAATCACTACTAGAACAAATTATTATACTGTACAATAATATATACATGGAGCCAAAATAAATGTACATTTCTATGAACCATCAACAACAAATCCTTAAAAAGAAAAACATTAAAGAAAGAGCTGTTTGATTTGACTATATACAACACTGGATGGCATGAAAGATGTCCAAAATAATGATTATAATTTAAATTAATCTTGCAGGAACGGGTACTGGAACAAGTTGCTGACGTCTCCATGGCCAGGTGGAACAATCTCATCTGCTGAGAGATGAGATTAAATGAGTTTGGCATACAGGCAATGTAAAAACAATACAAGTAGTCGCAACACTACAAGACAATCACACAAAACGTAAATATAGCTGGAAAGAGAG